GGTTGCTATGGTTGGCCTATGTTAAAAGGGAACATCATGTTCTTAGCAAGGCCTTGTGTAATACTTGGCGTGAGTGTCCTGTAGACACTATATTATACTCATGACGTTACCACATCATAATTACTAGATGATCAGATGTTTCTGAAAAGGAATTTTTGTCTCCAGTTTTGGTTGCATGGCCTAGAATTCCTCTATGAGATTGGTGGATTACAGAGCTTATTTACTGGATTTTCTTGCTGCATTCATATTTTCCACATCCTTTTGTATCCCTGTAGAGCAAGTTTTGAACTGCTTGAGTACTCCTTGTGTTAACTTAGCTTGTCAAGCACTGAACAGCAAAGAGGTCAATTAATACCTGTATCATTCTTTGTGTTATTGTTGTATTACTCTGGAGGGCTTTGACTTGCACTTTTGGGTGGAGATGAGGTTGAATACAGAAAATGTTGGTCTTGAAAGTAATGCTACTGATGTTTTGTGTTCTGTGTAAAAGGTGTCCACTTCCCTGCTTTTAACTAATGCCTTAAACTTACCCACTGCTGTAGTGGAGGTCAGGCTGTTAACATTGCATGTGTTGATTGTAAGGCAAATCTTTTACTTGTCAGTCATTTGTTAGTAAAGAAAAACTCTGCCTTCTGACACTTCAGGGGTTTTTTTGGGGGGGAGGGTGTGGGTGTTTCTTTTTAGTTACAGGCAACATACTTAATTCTGTTAAGTACCTCTAAAGAATATGTGAAAAGAGAAGGAAAAGAGAAGGTAGCAGTCAAACTCATACTTCATAGGCTAATGGATTTGCTATCTGTTGCTGGGATTTCTTGTGGCCCCAGGCTACTTTTGTGAAATGCAGTGTGGCAGAGAACAAAACGAAGAAGGGTCAGATGATTTGGGTATGTCTGCAAAACCCATGGAGAGGCTTTGAAGCTGCTCTCCAGAGCATGCTCTGTTAATACTGAGGCAGAGCCCTGTGTAGTAGGGAGGCACCTGCACACATGGGGATCCACATGCCCGAGCACACAGCAGTGATCCGATGTTCTGCTAAGTGGCTTAGTAGATCACCAGGCACGCTTGTGCAGCCTGCTTGTACTCTGCCTGCCAGCAGTGCTGGAACAAGGGCAGGGCAGACTTCTGTGCTTCTGGTTTGTATTTCTGAGGTTATCCTTTCAGTGCAGATAGAGGCTTTTTGTCTGAGTGCCTACACTGGACTTGTACTAGTGCAGAATCCTCTCACTTGGTCCTCTCTCCCTATCGAGGGGTTGCTGAGGGACAGCAGCAATATACTAAGTTTCACACAAGTTGTGCGTGTTTTCCCTGCTTATCCACATATGTAAGAGAGGTTATGAGAATTTCTGTGTGAAAGCTATTGTAAGGTCAAGAAATTTTTGTACAGGTGCTTTCAACTGCTGCTGAAGTAGTGTGTGGTAGTCCTAGAGAAGCCTTCTGATTTCACTGACTTTTTTTGGTAGTCTGATTTAGACAAGTTTGCCTGTAGAAGATACATAATCATGGAGTATGATTTTCCTTTCTTCTTCGTTTTCTCCCAGTAGAAAGGAAAATTTTATTAGGGGTGCTAATAGGTTAGAGGCCCAACAGGCTGTTTCCACGACAAGTGGACTAAAATACAGAGAACATGTTCCTTGGGGCAAGAATTTAAGGCGATTCTACAGATTGTGTGAGCAGGCTGTAGGTGTTTGGTGGAAAAGAGAGCTCATTTGTATGCCAAAATGTTTAGGAAAGACTTTAGGTTTGCTTCCACCTGTTTTTGAGTGTACTATTATAATCCTTAATGCTTGATTTTTTTCTTATAGATAAAATAGTTGGAGATTTCCATGTATAGGTGACTTTTCTAAGTAGAAATGGCTTTTTAGAAGTAGATCCAAAGCTACATTGCCCTTCTAACACCCTGTCCTAAAACAGAGGCACTTCACTGTGCCTCTGCAATGACATCTGTAACTTCTCATAATTGAAGCTTAGGGAGACAAGATGAAGAGGTGAGCATGTCCAGTACTTTTCTTTTTTGTTGGTTTTGCTGCCTATTCTCCTGATTCCTTGCAGCTTTTGTATCTTAGTACAGTTTTTGTGTTTGACCTTATTACGTGTACTTTTACATTTCTTCTTAGTTTAATTTTACAAAGATCTTCAGTATATAAAGCACTTACTTCATTTCAATTACCTCGCTAGCATAGGTTCTTCTGTGACTTGAGCTCTTACTTCAGTATTAATATGTCCAACTCCTAGGACAAGTACATCAAGCTTGTTAGGTTGCTGCACTTTTTGGAGTGTATTACTGATGCGATGGGGACTAGAATTTATTTGGCACAGAGTCTTCCAGGATGGTACTTCCATTCTGACTGAGATCTTTAATAGAGTGTGAACTGCAGAAATGTCTTAAGAGCAGCATTAGCCTGGAACTTCTGTAAGTGTAATACCCCATGGTGAAATCCTACCCTTTTCTTTAAGGGAGGGGAGCAGTAGATATGGAAGTATGCTGCTTAATGAGGATGTGAACAAATACTATAGTTGAAATAGGATGTTGAGATACTTTCGATCTAGTTTCACCTATAATAAAGGCAAAGTGTACGAATACATGGTGGGGTGTGATAATTTTTCCCTCCTTTCTCTGACAACACTTGACAATCTCAAACATATCATTTTTGTTATTGTTTTTTTTTTTCCAAAGAGGACAAAAGTTGGCATGTGCAGGTACTAGAGTTCTGAATGTTGCTGTGCTTAATGATTTCTCCAGTTCCACTCAAGAGGAGAACAGCATTTTCTGGTTACAAAGAAAATGAAATATTTTTTTTAAATTCACGTTGAGTGCAACTTTAGTTACCTATAAGACTGAAGGAAGGATCTGTAAAAATTAGCATGGGGCAGAAGAAGGAGATCATGTTTAGTGTCTTCACAAGATGTCTTGGCACAGGCTGCAATTTTTCTTTTTTTTTTTTTTTTAATGGCAAATATGCAACCTGTTGGCAGTTAAACTTAGCTCTGGGCCATGGCTTATTATTCAAGCTGAAGGAATAAACTTCAGAAGGCTGTTTTCTGTTGGCTCTTGGGGACGATCAGTCCATGTCCACTACGGAATCTTGAAGTTTGTGGGCGTAACAGAACAAGGAAACCTGAAAGGATAAAATAAACTTTGTTCCTGGTCTGGCAGAAATGAGAACAGTTCCTGCTAGATGATGGAGGAATGGTTCCGAAGTACTTTTTTAGGGGAAAGGGGAGATTTCTATGGTACTTGACTTCTTACAGTCTTTCACTTGACAAGTCAACAATGTGCTGGATCCTGCTGTTCTTAGTGAAACTGAGTTGACTTGGTCCTGTTACTTTTATTTTTCACTGTGAGTTACTCCTCAGGGAAAATAAGCAGCTTTAGAAACAACAAAACCAACCTAAAACTGGAAGGCAATAAAATAATAGCAGTGCCATGGGTGCTTCAGGAATACAAGTGACTGGTGACATACGCTTGGGTCCATTTAGGAACCACTACTTGAGGACTGTGGGATTAATTTTTTTCCTATTTGGCCCTCTGGGGGCCTAAGAAAGCTTCTTTCTGTGATGCCTTTTTATTTTTTTCTGTCAGATATGCGTAGAAGAAGTGTAAGTTTTAGTAAACTGAGAACAGCTTTTGCTCTAAGAATGCATACTTGTGTTTTGGAATATGAAACTAATCTTGATCATGGTGTCAATACTTCTCTGTTGAATTAACTCTCAGAAGTTTTTCATCTGCTGAGGTTAATTTGGAATTTGTATTTTGGTGATGAAGTGTTTTAAGATTGTAATGTGCAGAAGAAGAAACATAACTTGAATGTGATCCCATAATTTATACCAGATAATACTAATTCTTCAACTTGGATGTCTCAGCATTTTGAAATAAACTGTGTTAGTATCTGTATTATCTAAACAATGTTCTAACAATAAATTAAGATCGTGGAGATGCAATTTGAGGAGGTTTCTTATGTTAATAAAGGGAACAGAATTCAATGGGTAGTTACTTTGTGCATTGCTCAAAGAACCAATTTAGAAGTTAGGTTACGATAATAAATATTTTTATCAATAAAATTTCTTGCATTGCCTCTCATTTTGTATTTGTAGTTTTTATAACTGTTCTTCATCTTGGGATACATATTTTACATGGTTGGACTTGTATTGCATTATTAAATGGACTTTTTAGTAAATTTTTCTTTCATAGTAAATTTTTATCTAGCTTATAAAACTATGTTCTCTTTTTTCTAAATAGGAGTATATTAACGACGCTTTCAGATTTGGAAAGATCATGATTAGTACATTCAGTCAGGTGAGTGCTTTATGCTGTACCTCAGAAACTGATTTGTACTATCAGTACTTTCTTAGTGAGTCTGAACTGGGAGTTTTTTATGTGCTTTTGTTGTTGCTCTTTTGTGTGTTGCCTTTGAGCTGTAATATCAGGAACAGTGTGGCAGCAGGACCAGGGCAGGGATTCTGCCCCTGTGCTCAGCACTAGTTAGGCTGCACCTTGAGTGCTGTGTCCAGTTCTGGGCCCCTCAGTTCAGGAAGGATATTGAGGGGCTGGAGCAGCTCCAAAGAAGGGCAATGAGGCTGGGGAAGGGGCTGCATCACAGGCCCTATGAGGAGAGGCTGAGGGAGCTGGGGCTGTTCAGCCTGGAGAAGAGGAGGCTCAGGGGAGACCTCCTCACTCTCTGCAACCCCCTGAGAGGAGGGGGGAGCCAGGAGGGGGTCGGTCTCTTCTCCCAGGAACCAGCAGTAGGACAAGAGGGCTCAGTCTTAGGCTGTGCCAGGGGAGGTTCAAGTTGGACATTAGAAAGAAATTCTTTAGAGTGAGTGATGAGCCATTGGAATGGGCTGGCCAGGGAGGTGGTGGATTCTCCATCCCTGAAGGTTTTTAAGATGAGACTGGTTGTGGCACTCAGTGCCATGGTCTAGGTTGACAGGATGGTGTTGGGTCATGAGTTGGACTCAGTCTCAGAGGTCTTTTCCAACCTGATTAATTCTGTGGTCTGTATTGTTTGCAGTGCAGAAGTTTATTAATAAGCTAGTCTGGATAGTACTGTAATATTGCAAAACAGATGAAATTGTAACTGAGATTTTGAGGATTAACACTGTAATGTCTGTTTAGTCTAAATAATTGAAAAAAAAATCAAACCTGTTTTTCTGTAGCTAAAAAATGTGTTCTGAATTGGTTGTAAAATCTGACAACATTCTCTTTTTAATGCTCCAGGTGGGGCTTCAGTTCTACAGAAAGTGAACTTGGTTCAGCTTGGTTTGCATCCTGTAAGACAGGTGTGTTCCCTAAAGCAGGTTGTTCACTCCTTTCTAATATTTGAAGTCTTCTATGCTTAGAATAGATATATGTCAGGATCAAAGGAAATGTCACGAGTTCTGTACTATTTGTAAACTGAACAAATTAGACTTCCTTCTGTGGAAAAGATCTTCGAGATGCCATCCATAGATGAACTCTCTTAGTTCTTTCGATTTGGTCGTAGTCAATCACCTGTACATTTCCTCTGTTAAATAATAGGAAAAAAAAGATTAGATTTTACTGCCTCTAATTCTGTTCACATTGTTTAAATACAAGTCATTCAGGCTAGGCATTTTGTCTCAGATAAAAATGCTTTTGGTGTAGATTCGTCTTCCTTTCAGTTAAATTGTAGAAAGGCTTATCATGAGATTTTTAAGTAGTTTACAAGGACTGTTTTTTCTTAATGTCATCCTAAATGGGCTAAGTAGATGAAGCCAATATGAGACACAATTAAAATGGTACATGCTGCTACTGTGAATATCCTCTTCAAACCTAGACTTTGTTAAACCTTTTTTATCTTTTTTTAACCTCTGAAAATTTTACAGGGAGTTGAGTTAGAGTAAGGGAATTGGAAGAGCTGCCTCTAAGCAAAGATTTCACTAGTGCTTAAAGACATTTCACGTTTTCAATTTCCAAGCTAAAAACTGTGAAATCTGGAAGTAGTTCTGGATACAGCAACTTCCAACGCTTCTTGTGGTCACAGGTAGAAAGCTCATAATTTAAATCCCGTTGTATCAATTTATGATAAAATCAGAAGCAAAAACATTTAAAAAACCAATGTATACAGGTTTGTATCATAATACAAGTATTTTAGAACTCGTATCAGCTTTGTGATGTTATGCAGAATGGAATGTTGTGAATAAATTCTTCCTTAAAGCTGGCCAACACAAATGTACTTTTAACAGTTAGTAGACATGCAGCATGTTAAATTAAGGCATGTTAACATGGGCTGTCTTCCAAAGTGGTTAGCTTGGGATTTGAACACTGTTCCAGGCTTTTGTTCCAGACATTTCTTCTGCATATTCAAATGAAGCACTTAAAATGATGTAACCGTTTGTCACACAAATGTTGATCTTCTGAATTTGTGGGTTTTATTATACTATTTCTTTGTGCTACATGGCAGTGGCATGTACCAACGGACTTAGTTTGCTAGATTTGATAGAAGAGCTTTCAGTTTCTTGTTTTTCCATCAAAATTCCCAATGTCTCTCTTGAGAAACTGTTTTTATTAGGAAGAATAAAAGTGTTAATTGACTTTGTCAGTACAACCTTCTGACCATAAAGAAACACTTTTTGACTGTGAGGGTAAGTGAGCACTGGAACAAATTGCCCAGAGATACTATGGAATATCCATCCTTGGAGATATTCAGAAGTCTTCTGGTGGTGGTCCTGGGCAGCCTGCTGTAGGTAACTCTGCCTGGACAGGATACCTCCAGAGGTCCCTTTTGACCTCAATCATTATGTGAACTGAAATTTTGCAGCTGCCTTGTAAAATCTTCAGTCCCGTACCAAGCCTGCAGTGATGTAGATGAGTTTAGATCAGGTGGTAAAATGGTGTTGTAGCCAAACCTGGAACTCCTGCTGTGACCACACCAGGCATTTGGCTCTTGACCTACTGGAGAGGCTGGCCCTGCTCTTAGTGGCTGTGTCAGATTATGTGCACAGTGTGATACTATCCTGATTGTGAATCCTAAGAGTTATTTTATCTAGTGTAGAAGATTCTGTTGTTTTAAAATGCAATAAGACCTTATTTTAGACCAAAAGTGTTTAAAATGCAAATTTGTGTCTTATTCCTCTGCTGTGTGACAGTTTCATGTTTAACCAACATTTATCTGCATAGGCATGGCATAACTGTGAGCATCTCTCTGGTATCTGTTTGAAGAGGACACTGTTGGGGGGCCCAGGTATTTCTTTTATATTTTATAGTTATAGAGGTGTCTGGACTCTGTAATGGTCAAAGATTTCCAGTAGAAGAGGATGAGACAAGAATTAAATGCATGTGGCAGACTCTGGACCTAGGCACCCCATGCTTTTGATGCTAACTGGGAGGGAGCTTGATAAACACTTTTACCAACTTTTCGTATTAAAAACAGGTAAGAAACACACATAATTATTATGATTCATGTTAGTAGAAAGATACTTTCCCTCCTGCCCCTCTAGAGCTTATGCAGAAAATAGACTGTTCTGTGTTCGTTTTATCTTAAAACTGTGATTTCAGTCATATATATACTCAGAACAATTTTTGGGCTATGAACTGGTAGTTACCTTATTTGAAGCTTAAAACATTTTTAGCCTAAAACCATACTTATTCTTAAATTCAGGTTTGAGTTTCTTCACTGAGGAAATGACCTGGTTGGAAGCATCCTTACTATGGATGTAAGGGCTCTGATCTGATGCTGACTTCTTCCTGTATAGGAGCTGCTATAAATTCAGAGTAGCCCTTGGATGGCTCTGGAGCAGGGCTATGTCTTGATCAGTTCCTCTGTTGTAAAGTGGCAGCTGTAAGCAGTGGTTAATGGGGGTGACCTTTATAAAGATATTACTTTTATTTAAATAAGAGACTTGCATTTGGGGTTCTCTTGAACTGAAAGGTGAATCCTCATCAACAAATTGTGAAATGAATACTGTGAAATTCAGATACCAGCACTTGTGATATACTAGATGTTGCTGATAATTTTATTGGCATAAGTAGAAAATTGAGTTACACCTCATTGCTTGTTAAGAAAAAAAGTAAAACTTTTTTACTATTACTTGAAGTGAGATAAGAAATCTAGTAAAAATGAAAGTTTTTTTTTTTTTTTTTTTTTTTTTTAGTAAAGAGGTCCTGCAGGAAATTATGAGCATCTTTGTTATTGTTTCTTATAGTGAAGTCTGAGAATACTGTCATCTTTTGCTTTTCCCCCTTCCTAGAAAATATCCTAATGAAGGTATTCTGTTAATTATTCTATCTCTTGCTAGAAAAAAATAAAGCTCTCAGTGTTGTTGATAAAGTTATAGAGTTGAACAAGTCACTTCTTGGATTATTATTTGTTTTTCAACACATTCTCATAATGTTTTGCTACTACCAAGCACTTAATTATTGTCTAATTGTGCAGGGAGAGTGCATTCATTGTAGATGTTAATTTTCAGTTATCTCTCAAATTGCATGATATGATTAAACCATTGCTAGTTATTTGTCATACAAATGAGAAAACTTACTCTTTTGCAAAGCAAAAATCCAGAAGACATGTGGAAACTCTTCTTGTTGATAAGATCTTCAGTAAAATTTCATCCTGACCATTAGGAATGCCTCCTATAGGTACCACTACAGTTAAGAGTACCTGAATATTCATATGTCTATAGTCATAAACTGTGGTGTGCCTCTTGCTTCATTGGGAATGTTGATAAGTTCATAGTAGTTGCAAATTTAGACTCGAAATGTTGTCCTCTTACTCAGTTCTTGAATTGGATAATTTTGACTCTAGAGTGTTAGTTTCTCATTCTTTAATTGCCAGTACTAAACATGATAGGCTTTGTGTGAAAAGAAATCTGGAAAAAATCTGTTACCTGAATATAATCAGATCTCTATTGAAACAAGATTTTTGTGTTTAAATATTATAGTTTCAAAAGAAATTCACCTCCTGGGTGTTCTACAGTCCTCCTTGAGTTTTTTTTTTCAAAAACAGAAGCTGTTACTTCTTCCAGCATTTATCCATATGTATTTTGGTGTGTTTTTCTGGGGATGTTAAAGTTCAGGCTTTTTCCTTTGTCTACTGTAGCTAATGAATAACCAGAAGACATTTGCTGCACATCTAACCTGGCATATCAATGCCTACATTTGTCCTTAGTACTCAGTGGAATTACGTTGCCTTTTTCATACACTGCATCAGGACTTTGTAGAGCTCTAGTGACTTTGGAAGGCTTGCTCTATCTATACTAATAGAATGGGTTTTTTTGTGAGCCAGTTGCCTTAAAATCAAGCTTAACTGATGCCAACTTCAGATTTAAAAAAAAAGAATTATTTGCAGCATCAGAAAAGACAACCTCACTTAAAAGTTTAGAAAGATGCAGCAGCAAATAAAAAACTGACTTAATATACTTGTCTCAAGATCAGACCAAAAAGTTCTTTTTGTTTCCATGTTCAGATGCATACTGAACTTGGTATGGGATGTAATTACTGTCTTCAAACTGGTAACAGGAGAGAGCCTCAGACTGGGAAAGCATGCAAGCTTTTGCCTTTCCAGTCTTGTTTGGTTAGTGATTGGGAATTTATTCAAGCATATGAGTGGGATGAATATGTGCAATTTATTATGTCATTTTGGCTGAGATTAGTTTCAAAGTTAATTAATCTCTTTGTGATGTCTGACTGTCTGTGCTGCTGAAGTGCCTGCAGAGTGCTTGCGTGTGCATGCAGATGTTCCACTTAAAGTCTTTCTGTGCCCGAGACTGAAGTCTAGCCAGCTGCATCATTCTTATCTAAATTACAGGCACAGAGCATGGTGTAGGGTTATTGCCAGTCTGTTCTTTCTTCACTGTTACTCCAGTCTCTTCTTAGAAAATCTCTCCAAAGTTATGGCATATATTACCATTGCTACTTTGGGGGAATCTTGGCCTTTTTTATTATTATTACACAAAGTCTTGTTTTAGAAACGCTCCACTTTCTTCTTTCCCCAGAAGCTCTTGCAAATTTATCATAATATTTTTCTTGTTACTTCCTATTTACTCTTCCTGTATTCCTTACTCTGGTATGTGCCTCTGGCACTGAGGCTTTTGAGATTTTGAAACAGAAGAAATTTTGTGCAAGACTGACTTTCAGTGATGGTAATCTTCCGGTCCTGCCGAAGAACACCATTCCACCTCAAGCAGTTGAGCCAGTTCTTCTGAAAAATACTTTTAAAGAGGTCTAACTTGTATCTTCTCCATTACTCAGCTACTCATTTTTGTTTCTGGCATGACTGTCTTTGGGATCCAGATTGTAGTCACTGTAATGTGGTTATGTAGGAACTGCAGCGATAGTTGGTGTGGGCAAAGCTGCAGAAGCTCTGGCATGTTGGTAGTTAGAGGCAGAAATAACAAGACTTAAGTGTTTCCTGACACGGATTTCTGCCAGGTATCAAGAGGAAGAGAATTGACATAGTGTTTCCTAAGTGTCAGTATCCATTTCTTTTCTATTGGTGATTCTCTTAATTTGAACTCATTGCTTAAAATAAAAATACTTTTAAAAACCCTAAAATCTTCTCTGTCGTTGACTCAATCAGCTCTTGTTCAAGGTGACACAGGAAATTCCTCAAAAGTTATTGGACAGTTTATATATATATATATATATATTGGTAATAATTGTCTCCCACCTAAGAAAATACTGTTGAAGTTTCCTGCAAATACCTGGCAGATGCTATCAGGGAAAGAAGGAAGGAGATGAGACAATAGATGACATTTAGAGGTGGAAAAAATTAGTCATCAGTGGTTTAACAACTCAGAATTTCAAACTGTGTAAGACTCTATGGCACATTTTTGTTGCCTCATAAACTTCCAAAGATTACAGAAAAGACTGGGAAAATAATTTTCCAAAGAAAGGTTGTGTCAAAAAAATATTTGCGGGCAACTCTTGAGGCTGGAAATACTACAGCATATGTAGTACTCTCTGGCTTAGGAATTCAGGAGAAGAGGTTTCTTGTGCTTAAAGACTAAAATACAAAATATTTACATCCAGACTAGGAAAGCTGTGGCTCAGTCCTTGTTCTTCCCATAAATAGCACAATTTTACTGATATATGGGTTACTGTGGTACCGAACTAATTATCTTTGGAGAATTTAGGGCTATTCTAAGAGTCTGTCTTTTGGTTCATGCTTATAAACCTATCAATTGTGATTTACATAGTTTTCTTTATAGGATTAAATACAACAACCCAAAGTTGTTTGGGTATTTTTATTATTTTGAGAGATTTTTTTTTTCCCCTGGCTTTAAAAAAAAAATCTAACATAGTTTACTAGCAGATAGTGTTGTTTTGGTTATGACAGTATATTTTTTTCTTGTATCTAAAGCTACTTCCACATAGTATTTTGTCAGAAAAGCAGGAGGGAACTCCAACCTTGGGCACAGAAAATAGTATTAGAAGTGTTAGACCTTGCCTTAAATTTGTATATCAGACCTCCTTTAAGGTGATGCTCTGACTGCCTTTATTCTGAAAGCTTCACGAAGTGGTTAATTTTTGGTTTTCTTGATGTGCATAAGGCATTTATTTGAAAGTGGACAGTATGCTGTAGATGATCTCCAAGGTTACCTTTAACCTTCACAGAGGAGGTAAAAAGGCACTCCATTGCTAACTGAGTAGTTTGCTGGACTACCTTTACTCACTGAATCCTCCATAGAGCTTTATGCTCTCAGTGCCCTCTGTCAAATAATAGTACAGATGACAAGTGGAAAATGGCTCAGTTATTTAACCAGACAGATGCTCTTATGTACTCAATACTTGAAGTAGTGCTAAGAGCACTGGGTAAGAATGGATTTAACATATGTGTAAAATGCCCCTTACCTTTGCAGTAACAGAGGGTTTGTCTCATGTGCTGTCCATACAGGTCTTCCCTGTGCCACATTCCACATTTGCTCTCCTGAGCTCTTTGGTGGTTTTGGTCCCTCTCACACAAAAGCAGCTGTGGTTATCCTGAGATGATTAAACCCAGGCTGTGGTATTGCAGACAGGGTAATGGGCCCCACTAACCTCTCATCAGGGAGGCTCACGGGGAGCCTGCGTGGCCAGAATGGACTCTAACCTGGCATGGAACTTTCTTCAGATGTCTAGATAAAGGCAGGCAAGGGAAAATTTGAGCTTGCTCTGTCAGAGAGATTAAATCAGAGGTGAACTGTCTGATCTAGTTAATCATTGGCCACTAGAGAATGTTCCATTGTGACATAATACTAGAGTTTCAGCTAAGAGTAAATATTCTTTTATTGCAATTTCCAGTTATGTAATTTTTAGGACAGAAGTGGTTAACTTAGTCCGGATAAAAACCATTAGAGCTACTGAAGTGTAATTTACTGCCTGTACAGTACTTTTCAATACAACAGCATGACAGGATGTCTATTTTGTGGATTGGGGTACCTGAAGTGAATACAAGCAGAAGTGAAATGTCAGTATATTTCACTCTACCCAAAGGTGTTTTTTTTTTTATTATTACCTACAATGAAGAACTAGTGAATAAACTTGTAAAGAAAAAAAACCTATTTCTATTTTTATACCATTACTGATAGCTTAAGTGAATGCCCTTAAACTACACTTCCTACTTCCTCTTTCAAATGAAAGCAGATACCTTGCATATTACTTTGGCCAAGCAGGGAGATGAATAATATTTTCTGGAAAAACTCAAAATAAGTGTAAAATGTCTGAAAAAACATCAGTTAGGAGGTTAAGAAAGTAATTTCCATGTGGTTTCATTTTAAGGGGAGTTGAATCGTAGTGTGTTTTAAATTAATCTTGTGAATATTTTCTGTTACAGAAATAATTTTCTAAAAATATTTATTTATTTGTGTTTAAAAGGAAGCTGCTGCACTTACTGTTAACAAAACTTAGTTAAGAATTATTTTATTGACTTTGTTATTCCAGTCAGAGGTCTATTAGTCAACAAGTGTAATCCTGAATCTTTTAAAGGAACAAAGAGGAAGGAACAAACATGGTTCTCTTGTCTTGAAAACAATGTTTTTTTTCCCTGATGATGAATTACGTAGTCCAGAGAATCTTAGCTCATAGTTTTGCAGTATTGTTGTCTCTGTGGGTTGCTGACATAGATGAGGATGTGAGTCAGATTAAAGACGATTATTTTATTCATAAAGTTGAACTGCTCTGTAGTACTTCTCTTTGGATGGTACTTCAGTATCAGTTTGTTCTTGATTCACCTCCATATACATGCTGATTTTTGAGCCTGGTGCATTAGACTTTGCTTTAAAAGCAGGGATTTTTTTGTTGTTGTTGTTTTAATCTTTTCTGAACAATTTTTATCAACCCCTCCCCCCAAGTTAGTGGTAATCAGTAGATAAATCTCAGGGTTATTTATGTCTTAGAATTTTTGTTGTTGATAAATAGGTGGGTTTGTTGATATATAGGTGCTTAGTCTCCTTGTTCCTACTGTGTGATCTGTGTACCTACCTACATGGCTCTTGTACAAAGAAAGAAATGAAGAACTGGTGAAAATGGCAGAACAGATCTTAAAAAAAACAGGCCAAGACTATGTATTTTAAAAAACCCAACATAAAAAACCAAAACAGCCCAAATGACCTCCAAACCAAGTAAGCAATGCTCTGATGTCTGAATGGAATTTTTTTCTTTATCAAGGTAAACTGGAAGCCAGTGAAGTGGTTTCAGTAAAAGTAATAACAGTTATTGTCCAAATCCAGGCAGTAAAATTGTCGAGTATTAGGTAGGAAAGTAGAAAACAAATGAATGCAAACTTATAAGGAGTTTTTCATGTTTATTCAACTTCGGGGTTTTTGTGGGGGTTTTTACTAAAATATAAACACCTTTTCTGTGATAAAACATTGTGAGATTTGCAATTTAACCTAAACTTTTCACCACTTAAATGCTGAATATATTAACTCTAAATATCACTTTTACTTTCTACAGTCAGTGCAAGTTCCAGTCTATCAGCAAGGCAAACAAGAAAATAATTTTTTTTCTTCCTTCCCTTCCTCCTCAGATTTGTGCATCTGTACTTCCAAACAAAGTTTGCACAGAGAGAAAATTCTGAATATGGCTTGATTTGCTCTTGATCTTGGCAGTGTTTCTAATGACTGTCCCACGGACTCTATCAAGTTCAGGGGCTTCTACTCCAGCACTGAGGAGCAGAACCCTGAGCAGCAGCCTGGGATCAGCGAAAGCATTTCTCTGTCATTCTTTTTAAAAGAGCAACGGAAAATGAGTGACTATCCTGGACTCGCAAATAACCATAGCCAGATGATTGCTGAAGATTCAGAAATTCAGACAAAGCCTGAGCACTCCCGTGGAGTTCTTCAGGAAGATATTGAAATGAGCAGTGGCTCCAGTGGAAATGACTCCAGTGGAAACGACTTCAGTGGGAATGACACAAATGAAAACTATTCAAGCGGGCATGATTCTCATGGCCATGAATCTGATGAAAATGGGAAAGATTCAGCAATGCTCATGGAATCTTCAGACTGTCATAAAAGGTGGTAGCTCATCATAAAATACATTTCACACCAGTGACTTTTTGCATTTGAATATAATTTCTGAACAATAACTAAGGTATAAAATGTATCTTGAAATTGAAGCTGAGTGTTCTAGTTAAATTGTACTCTCATGTGGTGTAAATTGTGTAATAGGTATTTATTCATAAAGAAAAGGTCTCTGGTGTTCTGCATGGCCGCCTTCATTTGCATCTTTCATCATTGTGGTTTAATTGGCCTTATTTATATTTTTCTAGTAAACCAACTTCTATAATTGCGTATCAAAAACGATCAGTTTATTCTTATGTATTAGGATGCAACTGTGCTATTTTAAACATTAAAATAATAGCTTACTGTACAGAGCAAAGCTGAAGGAAGAACCACCTTCTTAGTAGTCCTGCAAGGACCAGGGAGTTGAACTTGGTGATCCTTATGGGTTCCTTCCAACTGAAGTTACTCTGTTTCTTAGACAAACGTTTAACAGCCACAGTTTCCATTTTTTTTGTACCATGCAGAAGCTTTTAAAGTTTGGGGTTGGGTTTGGTTTGGTTTGTTTTTTTCCTAGGTAGCCAGTAATTAATAGAATAAAGCTAAAATGAACTAAAAGTTTTTTGTTAGGTTTACTAATATTAATCTTTTTCAATCTTTCCTAATTCTAGTTCAAGCTCAAATGCATTTAGTCTGATGATTGCAAACTCTGAACACAATCAGTCCAGCAGTGGATGCAGGTAAATTAATGGGCATGTATTTTTCAGTAACTTGCATGTACGCTAAACGCTGAGAACTGAATAGTGTTGTATTTTGGTGTTTTGTTTTGCCTAAACCTGGAGGATTACACCAGAAATTCTGTCCATAATCAGTAGCATGTCCTATTAACTACTTGATTGCTTTAGAGCTTTCTGTTGCTGTTCCATGCTAGTTGTTTAATAACCTTTCAAGGCATGTTACTTGGTAGCTAACTCTCTAATTTTTATTTTTTGTGCATCCCTTTGAACATTGCTTCAGCTCTAGTAGGGGTTTTTTTGTAGCTTTTATTTAAATTCTCTGCTCTTTAGAATTTAGTCTGAACCTGGTGGTGTATTAACATCAGGATTCACCTATGGAGTTGGGTTATGTTCTGATGTCCAGCACCCACATCATCTGCCTCTCCCGTGTTCCATTTGCTGGGATTCAAGCCTCCAGTGTGTAAGGATAAACCAACATACTGCAGGAATGCCTCTCTATGAACTCTGCTTCTGGCCCTGGTAGCACTGAAGGCTCAAATCTAGATACTTCAGAGTGCCTACTGTACTTGTTGTTTTTTTAAGTCAACTGATCAGGAGACCAGACCCTGAGCAGATCAAGGATATCTGGCTGTAGCACACTGATATTAAGACCTCTCTCCACACCTACCTGGACATGTTTCCACCTGATACAGTTCACAGAAAAGTGGTAAATTAAAATTGCTCTTGTGCACCATTTGGTGCTTGAGGAACTTATTTTCTGTGTCTGCCTTGCAGGCACCTGGAGATCTTGTTCCATGCTCTGTTTTCAGTTGGAAGTTGTGATCTGGAGTTCATATTGCTAAGTATGAAAGACAGAGTGAAACAAAGACATTTCTTAATCTTCTTTTCCCATTAATTCCATTTTCTTCACTGCAAGATTTTGGGAGGATGGAGGGGTTACTTATTACAGTTTTTCTGATGTCTCTTTATTTTAAATTTCAGTAATATTTCTTTGCTCAGAAATAATTAGGAATCCATCAGGAACAGTGCTAAAGGGTTACAGAGCAGAATCTGATCTTCTTTTGAAAATGGGAGACTGAAGATATATCTAGAGAATGATCTTTAAAGAGAAAACTAAAGTAGTCTGATAAGCTGCATTCTTAATCTTATATTCAGACTACTGGGGTTTGGATTCAATATCAGCACCAACCAACAATTCTAGTTTAATATCTGTAGGTACCTTTCCAGGTTGCTGTTGACAAAAAACAAAATGGAAAGCTCCTTTTTTTTTTTATAGAACTTGCTTATTCTGTCCTCTGAAAGTCACACCTTCCCTGTGGCTACCTACTGTGCCTGATGCTACTGATCTCTGGGAAAACATTTCTGAGTTGTGTAACTTATTTTCCAAGGAGGCCCATCTTTTGTATACGCTGCTGCTGAGGGCTAATTTGGAAAGGTTTCTTTTCTTGCAAAAGAGTCTGACCACTCTCATGAAGCAGACTCAGAGAGTACAAACCAGCTCAGTATGCTCAGTTATTTCATAATCTTTTCCCTCTCTCTTTTTCCCTACTGCCAGCATAGAGGGCTCTTCTGTTAACAAAGCCCTGTTTGATTGCATCAGTCCAAACTGTCAAGCCACATTGTAGATGTGATTTTAATATACAGCACAAACATAATGTTTCCCAGGGGAGTACTGTACTCTTTTGTCTGATCCCTTGCCATTATTTCCCGGTACAAAATGACCACAGAAGAAACGAACGCCGCATTCCTCATAGTACATTGTGATGTAAGCCAGAACAATGTGTATTCTCTAGTACAAGTCAGCTTTGTCACTTTCCAAGCATTTTTGGTAAAATACACCCAACACTTGTCAGGTGACTGATTTACCTTTTTCAAACTCTTAAAAATTCCCAGAAAAATGTT